ATATATATATATACACATACATATACATACACATATATATATATATACATACATACACATCAGACATTCTTCATATAGACTAAAATTAGCTTTGATAATCAGTTGTTGTCTTTGATTTTGTTTGTAATGTGTTTGATCTTTATTACAGTATTATTTAGTTTCATGCAGTGTAAATTATTAGAAATGCTTCATATACTAAACATTACTGGTTATTTTCCCCTGCAGTCAGACTGGCCGGAGGGTCATCAGCTAGCTTCTGCAATGAATTTCCGCTTCCCACAGTGTGTTCCTACACCACTAAAAACCCTGATCCCCAATGCCACCAATGAGGCTTTAGACATCATGAGAGACCTCCTCCAATGGGACCCAAAGAAAAGACCTTCTGCTGTAAAGGTACATATAAATTGCAATAATATATTTTGAAACAAATAGATAGATTGGACAAACAAAATAAACTCATAGAATTGGTTGTAAAATCAGGTATTGAAAATTTGGTCTGTGGTATTTTTCCACTTTTTGACTCCTGACAAATTCAGTGCATATAGCTGTTATCAAGTAGAATTTGCAGATTTCACAATCAGACACTGTGACTGATATTTATGTCGGTCTACTAATATTAGTCTGTGGTGTCTGAAAAATATTAAATGTCAAATTGATACATCAATCAAGAAAATTAAGGGTTTTTACGGCATAGTTCAGTGGTTCTGAAACTGTCTCCCTAGTGGTACACAGGCTTTCTTCTAGTGGTACGCGGAGGAATCGCTGAATAATTAAAGTAAAAACATGAACGCAGTTTCAACCCGATAATGTACCATAACACCGATGTGATCAGTAAATAAATCTAAATAGGCTAAACCTTTTTTTGTATTATTATTTGTTTTATTTCTAATGTTTGTTATGAATTATTTCATGTAAAGCTAGTTTCCTCTCTATATTTGTAAAGGTTGTTGGGGGCGTATCTTCTATTTTTATATCCCATTGTTGACATGTATGGTTTAATCACTTGCTTTTCTGACACACAAAGCTTACTCTAACGCGCAGATCTAATTTCTAATTTAAGTATGTAAATCCAATTTATATATTTAAAATACAAGTTAATGTTTAAATTTTAAAGATATGTTGCACGTATATATGACCTATTTGTATATTCAAAAAATTCTAAAAGAGTTTATACATGAATATGATGACATATAGCATATATTTATGAGGTCCAATGAACATTTCTAGGTTTTGATGAATAGGCTACTATATGATAATACTTTTAAAAGCACATTTTAATTTAAATGTTGACGCTTTATTTTTTTCATCTTTAAGCACAGTACAGTGTTAATGTTCAAACTATTTGTAATGTTTAAAGTGACTGACAATAATATATATGCTTAATAAGAAGAATTAATCTGCCACGTTTTTGAACTGCGCAGAGCTGTAGCTGATTAAATAAGCCTACTACGCTACTGTACTTCAATACTGATTATTATGGTGGTACATGGAGAGACAAATTTTTTCTGAGGTGGTACCTGGTGAAAAATTTTGAGAACCACTGCCATAGTTCATCCAAAAACGAAAATTTACTCTCCGACAAGTGGATTCAAACCTTTCTTCTGTTGAACACAATATTTTGAAGAATTTATTTATTTATTTTCCTTCGGCTTAGTGTGAGATTTTTAGAGGTTACCACAGTGGAATGAACCACCAACTGTTCCAGCATATGTTTTATACAGCGGATGCCTTTCCAGCCACAACCCAGTACTCTTACACAAAGAGTTATAAGTTGTGAAAAAAATTGCAATTTTGACAATGGTTGTGAATTTTGTGTCTAGTGTTTTGAAAATTGACACCAGGGTTCTGAAATTTGCAGTAAAACGATTGTAAAAAAGCTGTAATTGTGTGATTAGGGGACAGTAATTGCAAATTTGCAATAGCACAACATTGACATGCCAGCCGCAGCAACCACAGAAATCGCTTATTTCCAAAGCTTTTTTTTTTTTAAACTTCATCATTGAGCAATGAATATTAAATAATTTAATAATGAATGAAATAATTCTGAGGTTTCATCTCACTGTCATTCATCCATTGAAGCGCAGCTGCCCCACAAGTGTCAAGTCACGGGGCAGCTTTAAAAAGGACAACTGAGGTCAGAATCAGCCGATGGTTTGGAGTAGCTGAAGCATTTGCAAAATCTGTTAAATACATCAGTGGATGAACGGGTATAAATACCTTCAGCTGCTGTTACACAGCCTATCTACTTAAGGAGATCTGGCAAAAGCACATTCGATGCCTGTCAATTAAGTTCATTCAAACGTTAAAAATTATTTCAAAATGTAGGCTAGATAGTTATTTAATGTATATAAATAAATATAGGCTAGTTTCAGCTTAAAGCTAATGCTGCCAGTGCAATATATTGAATAAATATGTATTATTTTACTGTGTCCTGGGATCTATTTCTACTTGGTTAATTATTATATTTATTTAATTGCTTATCAGAAACAAATCCTACATATCCGAGTAGATTAATCAAATAATGTGTTTCATTTTTGATCAGTTGTTGCGGTTGGCATTCAACAATAAGATAAATGCTTTATAACACTCTCTTTAAGATATGTGATGCATATTAACGCGACCCCAGAGATTTATATGCAGTGTGCAAACTTTTTGTCAGTGTTTGTCTGCATGTTCTAGATGGGCTGTCAGTCAGTGCAGTAACATTTGTTTTGCCACAAGATGCACATGCTCAGTTGATCTCGCTGTCTCTCTATCTCTCTTTCTCTTTCTCACTCTGTCAATGTCCTTCAAATCACACGTAGTTTATTCATCAATAGCATATCAATATTGCGATTATTGCGACAGCCCTATGATGAGGTCTTATGGTGCATTCAAGTCATGTCGGATAAATCATATTTAGAAGTTTTATTCTATTATTCTATTTATTCTATATCTAGTTTTATCATATTTAGAAAGCACATAAATAAATCCACCAAGTTTTCATTATGATTGGGGAAAAGACATTTTCTTTAAGACAGGGTTCATACGGTCATGCAAACTTGGAAAAGTCATGTAATTTTGTCATGGCATTTTACAGGCCTGGAAAAGTTTTGGAAAAACAGAAAACCCACAAAGTTTTGGAATAGTCATGGAAATTAGTTTAACAAATAAGTAAGTCATTTTTGGGTGAACTATCTCTTTTAAAATGCATGCAGATGATATGGAGATATCCATTATGATTAAACTCTATATTAAGCCATAATCCCAACATTGCGTATCCTGCGATGTGACTATTGCAGATGAACACATTGCGATATCAATGATGAAACGAAATATTGTGCAGCCCTTACTTGAATATAGGTTAGTTGTCTACTTATTTTCTGTCCTTGGCCAAAAACTTGCTCTGACATTGTTAGTGCTGTGTAAACATTATTAAAATCAATTTTACATAGATATAAAAAAACAAATTTAAACAAAATAGATTGTTGCGTGTTCTATTATATGCTGTAATAAATGTAATCGTCATAGTTTTTCTTATTATTTACCATGTATATGTAGATATTACATGAAACATTACATCATGAAAATGTTCTTGAAAGTCTTGGAATTTTAGTAGTAAAAATGTGTATGAACCCTGTTAAGATACAGCTGGCTAATAATGGTGCTCTTTAGATCTGATGCAAATGTGTCAGTTCAGAACCTACTATTAATGCATGCTACGACTTTCAAGTTTGGCTCTAGGGTTTAAAAGAGGTAACATTTAATGTGATTACATTTTGTGGTGAATTGGTGCCAAAATAGCAAAACGACAAAATACTGCAAAAATAAGTAAATTTATTCACAAAAGTGAAAAGTCAAGCAGCAAAAATATTATATAGATCTCACAAAAGAAAAATTTTATATATATATATATATATATATATATTAATTTTTCTTTTGTGAGATCTATATAATATTTTTTAATATTTTTAATATATATATTATGGACAGGGAAACGAGAATTAAGTGGAGCCAAATAAATGAAAGCAATATATCAAAAACCCCAAATCTAGCTGAAATTAACCTCTAAACTATCTAATTTAAAATAAACAAACAAAACATCTTCAGCGTTTTCACGTTACAACTAAAACTACTCTTCTTACCAAAAATACGGAGAAAACTTCCAGCGGGTGGTGCTCACTTCTAAGCTTGTGTGTTTAGACAGTGGAGTTATCTGCATGATGCGAGGTTTTTCACGTGACATCTAAACTCCTCGAATCCTAGGAGAAGGGAGGGCTGACACCAGAGATCAGGGAATTGTCACATACACACATACAAGACGGTAACAGCGACCAAGAACAAGATCAAAATCATCATAGCACATAACAGCAAGCCAAAACACACACAAAAAGCTAGCAAAGACAAAGAAAGCAAGACAGAGCAAAGCAGAACGAGGTTCCCTGTACTTTAAACTTTGAGCTTCTATTCTGATTGGTAGTGAAGGTGATGACTTCACAGGGTGGAATGGAGATTGACGTCTTCACGGACGAATGGGATACTGGAGTGGGCGATCCTGAGAATTGAGAGAGGGAGAGAGAGGGAGAGGGAGAGGGAGGGATGGAGGGAGAGAGAGCGAGCGCACGCACGCACACACACACACACAAGCAAAACATACACGCATATACATAAAATGTATTTATGACAACCAAAATGTATTTATGTATATGCCTTATGTATAGGCATTCTATGATATGCTGTAATAAATGTAATCGTCATTGTTTTTCTTATTATCATGTATATGTTGACATTACATGAAACATTACATCATGAAAATGTACTTGAAAGTTTTGAAAAAGTCATGCAATTTTAGTAGTAAAAATGTGTATAAACCCTGTTAAGATACAGCTGGCTAATAATTGTGCTCTTTAGATCTGATGGAAATGTGTCAGTTCAGAACCCAATATTAATGCATAATAAATATCAATGTAAACAGGCATCCTGGACCAAATAAATTGGGCGTGGAATAGAATTAAAGTAGTTTTGGCTTTTTTGTTTTTTTAAAAGTAGTTTCTTCAACCCAAATATAAATCAATTACAGAACCTTGAAAGGGTTATTTAAATTTTTGACATCTACACACTTTTTAAGATTTGATCTCATTAGACAGAATTGTTATTTGTGTAATTAATTGTTTCTAAATATAATTTTAGGCACTCAGATACCCATATTTCCAAGTGGGACAACTTTTGGGCCCCCGTCCTATGACCCCTGATGCACGGAAGGCTCCGGTAAAGGCAGTCCTGCCTAGTGAACTCCGATCAGAGATGCAATCTGTCTCAGAACCAGTGCTGCCATCACAGACTAAAGGCCAAAGCAGAAACTCACATCAGCCACTCCAGCAGATTCCTCTGCCTCAGTCTCTCACACAGACGGACACTGTTGCTCTACACACACAGAAGGTACAAAACCTCCAACTCCTGATTGAATTTTGTACATATTTGAAAAAGCTGAGTTTCAAATGATGGGTTTGTTCATTCTGTCATTGCTCTGTCAACTTGTTCCTGGAGGGTCAGTGTCCTGCAGATTGTAGCTTCAACCCTAATCAAACACACCTGAACAAGCTAATCAAGGTCTTACAAGGTATACTTGAAACACCCAGGCAGGTGTGTTGAGGCAAGTTGGAGCTAAACCCTGCAGGGCACCGGACCTCCAGGAACGAGATTGGTGACCACTGCCCTAAGCCATGATATTTTTTATCCAAGTATATCATACTGTCAGAAACCTCTACCACCCCATGCCTATGTTGGACTGCTATTTATGGCTTTATTTTAACAATCTAGGCGCAAAGTCTAAAATGTGCAGCGCAGAAGCATTAAGGGCATGTCCAAATCCACATTTGATATTTTAGGGAGGGAAAATACGGTTTGCTCCCTGCCGCATGGTCTAACAGGGTTGTGCTTATTTTCCTAATGAGTTATGGATGAGTCTCCTCTCCCATTCCCTTTAAGAGTCAGTTGTGTTATGACATGGCGCATTTGTTATTTACATGGCAGACTCTGTAAGTGGAAACCTGAATGCTTCACTAGCAGGAAAATGGTTAAACGAACCATATGCAGCAAGGATAAAGAACGAGCCTCCTCCATTCAGCCTCTTTACTTTCTCTTTACTTTACTTTCACTCTTTCCTTTACTCCTTTACTTTGATGGAGTAAGGAAACAGTGTTGTACGCACTCCACTGAAGACATTAGCCTACATATTTAATTTTGTTTGTTAAGCGCAAAGATTTGTTTCATAACTATTACTAAATTACGTTCTATATCCAAATACACCTCCTATTCTTATACCCCATATGTTGATGCATACGTCTCCAAAACCTGACAGTCGGACAAATTTAAACTAGTTTTAATTAAAACAAATATAAATGAGTATAATAAATACTACTGCTAATAATTATCATATTATACAAATGCAAATTGTCATGGGTAAACAAAAAAAAAAAAAAGACGAATGAGGCATGAAGGTAGTGGTTGTTATATTAATGTAGAAATTAATAACTTTTGTAACATTTTAATTCTTTAATTTTGTTTCATATATAACGATATTTGTTTATCGCTGTACATCCTGTGTATTAAGCAATGTGTGTTTGAACCTGCGTAGTGATTTTTATTATTGTTTTTATTACTATTTTGGGTTCAGCAAGTAACAATTTACATTGTGCAACAGATGCGACTCAGCGTGCCAAATTATAAATCCCCTGTGGCATATCCACCTTTCTTTTACCTTTAAAGTAGCTTGTGGTCCTAAAATATGTAAAAGATTACCTGTAGTATATCTCTATTGCACTTGAGTACTTCTATGAACATCATTTGAATGATGCTTTGTGTTTCTAAAATGAGGTGGTCGGAGGAGAGAACAGTCTGATGGGGCTGAAGAATGGACGTCGAAGGTGGGGACAGACCAACATGAAACCCTCAGACAGCTGGGATGATTCCGACTGCTCTGATACTGCAGCGTCCCTCTCTAAAAAACCCAGCAAAGGTCCTGAGGAGGAGAAAACTACCCCACAGTATGATCATTTTCAAAGCTTAATATCAGTAGTATTTAAACTGATTACTGTACAATGAAAATACAGTTAAAGTCAGAATTACTAGCCCCTCTTTGAATTTCTTTTTTTTAATATTTCCCAAATGATGTTTAACAAACCAAGGAAATTTTCACTGTATGTCAGATAATATTTTTTCTTCTAGAGGAAGTCTTATTCGTTTTATTTCGGCTAGAATAAAAGCAGCTTTAAATTAAAAAAACAAAACAAAACAAAAACATTATGGTCAAAATTATTAGCCCCTTTAAGCTATATTTTTTCCGATAGTCTACAAAACAAACCATCGTTATACAATAACGTGCCTAATTCCCCTATCCTGCCTAGTTAATCTAATTAATATCGGTAAGCCTTTAAATGTCACTTTAAGCTGTATAGAAGTGTCTAGAAAAATATATTGGCATCATGGCAAAGATAAAATAAATCAGTGATTAGAAATGTTATTAAAGCTGTTATGTTTAAAAATGTGTTGGAAAAAAAAAAACTCTCCGCTAAATAGAAATTGGGGGAAAAAATAAACAGGGGGGCTAATAATTCTGACTTCAACTGTACTCTTCTAAAACCTAAGGAGCAGCCTTACTGTCGACTAAAACAGCATCAGAGCTTGAATGAAATGCTCTTAATGGCTTAGTGTTTGTCATTAGCTTATTGCTAATGTAACGTAATGCTCTAATAAATACAAATGCATAAGAACACCTAAATGCTAGGTAAGGTAGCATGGTTTTAGGTTGCGTGTAAAATAAGTATTGAGCACGCCACCATTTTTCTTATGAAAGAAATTAATCTTTCTTTTGGTCAAATGTTTTGGGTATCCTTCCACAAGCTTCTCACAATAGTTTAAAGGAATTTTGGCCCATTCCTCCTGACAGAATGTGTGTAACTGAGTCAGATTTGTTGCTGTCTTGCTTGCACAAGCTTTTTCAACTGAGCCCACTAATTTTCTATAGTATTGACATCAGGGCTTTGTGATGGCCACTAAAAAACATTCACTTTGTTGTCCTTAAGCACATTTCCAAATGTAACACTGACCATTATGGCCAAACAGTTCAATCTTAGTTCCATCAGACCACAGGACATGTCTCCAAAAATTATTCTTTTCCCAGTGTGATTTAGTAAATTGTAATCTTGCTTTTTTTGTTGATTCTGGCTTGTTGATTTTCCCATGTTGTCACAAAAGGAAGCAGTGTGTTTGAGGTTTTCCTTAAACACTATTCTACAGTTGTGCCTCCAATTAACTCAGATGTTTTCAATTAGCTAATCAGAAACTTCCAAAACCTTGACATCATCATCTGAGCTTTTAATCAGAATAATCTTATTGTATGTAAACTTGACTTTGAAGAAAAGTTATAACAATTTCTCAAAAGATATCTCTCTAATTATTCTGCTATTAAGCATAACAGAAACCAATTTGATAATCTTAACTTACCTAAAAGAGAAAAAGTTTAATCACATTAACATCTGACTTTTGTTTATATGGTTGTGCTTTTTTATACAGTGTATGTAAACTTCCGGTTTCAACTGTATGTGTGTGTGTGTTTTAGTATTATCAAGGATATTGTCACAATTCTAGGCTTGGCACTTCTAAAAGGGATTTTGTGTTTCTTGTACTTGTCAGTTATAGCTTTTGAAATGACATCCTTTTCTTTATTTATGATTTCAAAACCTTTGCAGGCCCAAGGAACAGAAACCCCTTTACACATTTAGCACTGTGACTAAGTTACCGAACACCAGCAGGCTGAACCAGTCAGATTCCAGTCATCAGAGCACCTCCTCAGCCAGACAGCATTACCTACGCCAATCCAGATACATGCCAGGTAGGAGCTCAATTTTATTTAGTCACTTAAATAGGCCCACACAGAATTTGCGCAGACAGAAATCTGCAGATTTTTAGCCCATTGAGTCTATTTATTTACTTGTGTAAATGTGTGTAAATTTAAATTTCAGTTTTTCAATTAATATTAGTAATATTATTGACTAATATGAAAATGTACATTGGATTTATTTACAGTAGTTTGAAAAGTCATATTTTCTGTCTTTTAGTGATTATATTATGTGAGAAACTTGCTTTGATTACTAAATAAGTTGATCTGACTGGATTTAGATTGTAAACATTAAATAAAAGTTAAAAATTTGTTATTTCTTATTTCATATATTAAGTATATTAAGTTTTAGTTATGATACTTCCAAAATCCTTCTGCAAAAATCTGCAAATTTTTACAAAATTCTGCACAGAAATATATAAAAAAAATAAATAAATCTGCAGATTCTGTCTGGCCATATATATATAAAAGTAGCATCCCTTATAACTAGGGATGTAACGATTCACCTGACATTCACAATTTGATTCACAATTTGATTCTAATTCTAATGTCTCGATTCACGGTTTTGTCACGGTTTTTTAACTAAATTATTGGAAACAAATGTAAGGTGAAGAGCTTTAATTTTTTTTTTTTTGCAAAATATACATTTCCTGCCATAACTAAATTGCTGTTTTAAAAAACAAATTCCCCCCAAAAAAAGAATAATAAAAACTAATTAATATAAACAAATATTAATAAATAACACACTAACTCTGTGACTGTGCTGGGATTTTATGTTTTACATAGACTGTAAAAGATATGGACATAGTATGCGTGACGTCACCGATAGGTTTCTAACCACTGCAAATGAAGCTACAAGTAGGCATGGCCAACCGTCACCATTTTGTTCGTGTGTCATCGCAGCACCCATGAGGGATACTAAATAAGGGCAAAGAGGTAGAGAGTGAGCGGAGCTACAGAAACCTGCTGGCATTTTGCTTGGACCTGGCTTAGACAGACTTTACTTTGGGTGAACGCTTAATACTTTATCACCTGTGACTCGTTTGTGTTCTGACCACATGTGCTTAGTTGTACACTATATCAATAAAGTGTTTAACCTTTTAAAAACACTGTTGTAACACATTGAGCCACTAAGCATTGTTCTTATGACGTTTTTCAACAGGAGGAAAACGTGAATTACTTTCAAACACTTTAAATATAGTCAAATATAACTTCAATTCAAATATAGTATGTTAGTAAACGAAAGCCTATTGATGAAATCCAGGCATAACACTGTATGACAACGCGATGTCTGTTCTAGAGCCTACAGCTAATCAATCTGTCAGATTCTGGAGTGCTTTACAGTTCTAAAGAACATTATAAATGATCTTAAATAAAGCAAACACATTTATAGAGATGGTATATAAGTATATAACTTCAATCACCTGGGAAATGGAGACAACTTGAACAGTTTGTGAGCACAATTAAGTGCACACAGCATGCCATATCATCTGATAAATGTTGGAAATAATCCCAAAAGGCAATTGACTGTGTAAAGAAACATTAACCCAAACAAAAATATGATGTATATGCTGAGCTAGCTGGCTAAATAGCCGGATTTAGCTGATGTGACAAGGCAGCGAGCAGCGAGACCTAGCTGTCACTCAAGTGGCCATGCCCTTAATTTTGCAAACTTAATATAACTTAATAAAAACGTAACAAAAAAATCACCCCCTCACAGTTGTCATGAAGGGTAATCATAGCTATATGTGCCAAAGCCAGCTTTTGTACTAGGCTCTAAACATGTTTTTATCAGCTGTAAAAATGGCCAATTTCCCATTTTAGTCAGAAATCACCTGGACTTCATGGAGCCAGCCCCCCAAAGGCCAGTCTATGAGTTGCAGTTTTAGTTACTTCCGTATTGGCTTCCCGAGGGAGAGCGGGAGGTTGCCGCTTGTTTTTTTTTTTTTTTTTTTTTAAAGAAATATCAACTTATCAATCCCTGTTTTTTGGCATAAGCTGAGGTCTTTGCACATTTACAATGTGCCCTGCTGAAAAGCAGAACAACTGATTATAAAATGACTAATTATATTTGGATAGAGACAGGAGGTGAACATGATTATGAATGTAAATAATTAGTATAAGTATCAGTGCGATACACTTAATCTTGTACATTTTTAAATATTCAATAATAATAAGCAAATTATTAAAAAATGCATAAACTAATTTGAAAAGGAGAGGTGAAAAATAATCTAATACCTGTTTCTGTAACAGAACAACTTTCTCTTTCAGTCTCTGAAAACACTGATGCACTGTGTGATCTCCCTAGCACTCGCAGCTGCAAATCCTCCAGACCATGTGGTTTAGCTTATTAATAGTTTTTTGCTTAGACGTCTGTGACGTTTTTCACTGTCCTGACTGTTTATGTGCATCATATTAGGTGTTCTGTTAAGTAACCAAGTAAATGTCTTTTGTTTAAGTATTAGTTAAGTATTAATTACTATTAATTACTCTGCCGCCCCACCTTTTGCTCGCACGCTGATGTGCTGGTTAAACTCAAAAAAAATGTATCGCGATTCGTTCAACATTTCTACCGGTTTGAATCATCACATATTTTAATCGACTTTCCACCGGCTCATGGTGAATCGTTACATCCCTACTAATTACTGTTATTGCAACCTGAACCTTGTTGAGCTTTGCATTGCATCTCTTCATCAAACATATCACTGAACTTTTATATCAAATGATCTTTTGATGCAGCAAATGGCTTCATGTCAACAACTATTGGGCTGTTTTTTTTACTTAAATTAGTCTGAGGTTTTACAGAATGATTGTGTCGGTCCTAGGGTTAATAAGCAAAAACACACAATCTTTGGGTAGCAAGGAGTCGCAACAAGACTTCTGGGACACCTCAGCTCTGATGAGTAAACCTCTTGCGCCCATTGGAGGAGCACCAATGTCCAGAATCAGCCCAGGTGAGCACACAGCCATCAGTTAAAGCTGAGAATTCATCAATACCTTTAAATGTATTTGCATGCATTCTTTAGGATCTCATGCGTTAGCTCCCTAGAATGTGTTAAATGTTAAAATTAACTCCACTGTACTTGGTGGTGTTCTTAAAGGGTCAGAAAACACCAAAACACAGTTTGTGAGTTGTTGACAGTAATATATATGTCCCACTTTGCTAAAAACACTATAAGGACACATTTTACTAAAAAGTAAAAATTGGTTGTTTTTGCTTTATTTTAAGCAAATTTGTTCTTCCGATTTGAAATAAATTTTGATGCTGCGTCAAGGCCATGAGATCCTTGTGTAAATTCCAGTGTGGAGACTGGATGTCTGTACCGGCCGGTACAACGTGACGTCTTTGAGTTTTCAGCATCAATTTATGAGAAAGACTTGGTTCGAACCAATTAGCAATGCTCTATTGGGAACGAGATGCCGCTTCATTAATATGCATGATATAGCTTCGAAGTGTTCAGACAGCAGAGAGATGCCACAGTGTGTTGGCAACTGTAATCAAAACAAGTGGAAGAAGAAGAATTGTTCAGAGAGATGGGTCGTCAGTGTTGTGTTTATAAATGTGTCGCAACAAAGGTTTTGTTTCCATTTCCCTGCGTTGAGAGCACAACTCGCCTGTGAACCCACATTTGTGGATTACAGTGGTCTGTTAGCACGCAACAAAAATTTGTTTGCAAGGAACATGGTCCCACTTTATATTAAGTGGCCTTAACTAATATGTACTTACACAGGAATTAATAGTTTGTTACAATGTACTTATTGTGAAAATACTTGTATTTATTGTGTACTTATGCTTGATTAAATACCTGTATGTAATTACATTTGTAAATAAACTGCTGACCATCCCTTACACCTTAACCCACCCTTAAACCTACCTACACCACCAAACCTGTCCCAAACCCAGCCCCTATCCCAACTCAAAGAGCACCAGGGCCCGGTTTTTCAAAAAGTAATCCACTAGGATTTTGTATAAGGGATTGTATCAAATCTTGAAAATGGGTTTTTCAAAAGGAAAAACGGATTACATAATCGGATTAGATCACGTAATCCAATCTTGGTTTTGATCCGGATCAAACCTTTAGTTTGGGTTTTTCAGACCTTTTTTGTAAGATTCGGATCGCTTTGATCCAAAAAACCTGGATTAAACTGATCCTATCAGAAGGGTGGATTTAGCGTGGATTTCATGCCCAACATGTAATGAAAACTTTACAAAATTATTAAATAGTACTATTTTTGGATCATGCAGTTTTTTACGAGATGTACTATTTAATAATAAGGTTTTAATTTTATTTGTTCATCCGTCAGGCTATAGTGATTATAGGCTTTAACGTATTGAGCCTTTCAGTATAGGCCTACAGCAAAGTAGAAAGAGTTTGGCCTCATAAAATAATCCCCCAAACAGCTGTCAAAATTGACCAAAATCAATAATTTTTTGTATATATTAATTAGTATATTTATTAGTGATGCATGTAATGATTACAGAATAACCAAAAAAAAAATTTTGCAAAGAATGACAATCCCTGATTTTAGAAATCTCTTTCAACAATTGCAAAAAGAGACTGAAAGGGCAGAAGCACAGCTTCATCTGGCAGAGGAACAACTGACTTTGACCAAACTGCACCAAACCAAGGCAAGCTGGTCTCTCCACATCAGATGAGGAAGTGTGAAATTATTGTGGAGTTTTTGACATTAAGTCTTTTTTTTTATTTACATCTATATTTGAAACTTATTATAAATATCCTCAATGTACAGTGTTGTAGGTCTCAGATGAGCGGACTGCTGGAAGAGGATGGGGTGGGGTTTTTCTTGTTTTTATTATTATAATATTATTATTTATTAAATTTTCTTAGTTTTCATTTCAAATAAAAATAAAGTTATATTGACCCCACACTGGCTTTTATATTTGTTGCTCTGTACACAGGCCTATCTATCTACATTGTGATTGAGCACTAGTAATCCAGATTTAGTAATCCTGAAAAGTTCCTATCTGGATCAGATTGATCCAATCCGATGTTGCTTTGAAAAACTGGCTCAAAAAGTAAGCTGGAATATGTTATCACAGATTGAAAAAACAGTATTACTAAATCCGGATCAACTTGATCTGGATTAACCCTTTTGAAAAACCGGGCCCAGAAGTGTTCTCAAATACTTTATGAACACAGTAAGTACATTGTATTTATTTTTTGATATAAGTACATAGTAGTTAAGGACACTTAATATAAAGTGGGACCAGGAACATTTTTTACCCCAGAGCTTTTCAAATCTGGTAATGGTGAAATCCGAATTTGCCACTCGACTCCTTTATGAAAAAAGAAAAGAAAAAAAAAGACGCTGTTTCATTTGGTGTTCATTGTCCTGTCTCTACAGTTTTGGTAAGTGTGTGATCAGTGTTCTTTGTTTATGTTTATTCAGATGGCAAGCTTAGTATCATCAGCAGTACTCTAAGTTTTTAAAGACATACCTCAGTCAAAATGATTTAATTACTAAGTTTACAGTAATATCTTTACAATATTATGGACTGAAAGATCCACTGTGAATGCTGTTCTCTGAATGTAAACATGGCCCTTAAAAAAAGAATATATTTCTTGCTGATAAATATTTAAGAAAAATAAGAATTTTGTCTAAACTTTTATTCACCATATTATGTGCAAACCATAAATGATTTGAAATTTTCATGGAAAAGCTGAAGTGTTGTTTTGGCCTTACCCATTTTATTATTAGTGTTGTCATATTATTGATTAGGCTACCTTCAAAAGTGTCAAGAGCATCTGGGCTCCAGGTCTCACGCCTTCAAACATCATTCATTGCATGTCAGCATATTCTTGAGGTGCAAGTCATTTATTAAATAAAGATTTTACAGTAGATATTTAGCTGCAGTTTATCAGGCAGTGATTTTGATTTAGTTTCTCTTTGGATGAAAACGTTGCTTTATTTACACATCTTTTATGCAATATTCCAGCCTGATCTCACGAGAAAAAAGTATTTTATGTTTTGTCAATTTAATAACTAATTTGTATGAGTTCAGTAGGATGAAAATGAACGATTTTAAAATTGAGGCGTGGCACCCACCCCTAAACCCAACCGTCATCGGGTGATGAGCAAATCGTACTAAATTGTACAAATTAGATCGAACAAATTCATACAAATTAGCCACTAAACCAAAAAGTTACGAATTGCTGTGAGATTGCTTTGGATATTTCAGTTTTTTGCATGAAATGAATTCACATTTTTTGGTTGAAACAGCTAATGTGTTGCTAATTGGTGCTAATGTGTGATGCAAATATGACTAGATGACTTGTAACTCTATTTGGAAAGATTACGTCATTTTAGATTTGGGATTGGGATTATTTTGAAGGGAATTATCTGCATTAAATACAATAAATAACAATGACAGATGAATACAAATAAATAAAGATATAAATTAAAATGAACTGTTTTATGATTTTCTGGGGATTTTTACAGTCTTTAGGTACAGAAATTCAATAATCAAATGTAAAATAACACAGCATGGTCTTCATTGTATAAATAATTAAATACAATTAATCTTTGTTAACTTTTTAATTGCTCTGTTTAAATTTGCTTGAAATCTTTCACTCTATTAGTGTCATATTTTGCGATGATCCCACAAGTCCCATGTTCTGAACTGTGGTGGCTAGTTATTATAATCCCAACTTGACATTACATATCCTGTGATGTCACCATTGCATATACACACAGTGCGACATCGATGCTGAAATGATGTATTGTGCAACCCTAGATGTTATCTCCTCTTTATTGAATAAAATTTGTCACTTCTACTCACAGGAAACTTTGTAACTACAACATACAATCTCTCTGGAGGATACATACCTTCTTTTCAGAAGAAGGAAGTGGGTTCCGTAGGCCAGAGGATTCAGCTCGCTCCTCTCGGTCACCAACATGCACGTAAGAGTTTTACACTTTACAGCATCTACTAATTTATTATTTCTGCGTTTGACTTTGCCTGATCACATTTTGAAATGACCATTTTATGCTTTTCTTAATGGCTTGGACATTTAAAGGTGAAGTGTGTAGTTTTCACAGTGATAACGTTTTGTTTAAAGAACGTAATAATTCACTGTACTCGCACTGCAATGCAGTTGACTTTGTGAAATAGCAATATAATAATTAAGACTAATAAAACTCAAATCAAATAAGTACAAATAAAAGCAGATTTGTATTATGATAAGTCTGACATGGGAACATTGCTTCAAATTAATCGTGTGGGTTTTTGGCGGGATTGTCCATTTGTTTAATTTATTTTTAACTCTTGAAAACCTGACACAATCTGCACAGTTCACCTTTATTCAAACCTTTTTACTGACCCCAATAGTTTGAATTTCTCTTAGAGCCTTCAAGATTTTAGCCTTTTCTAGCTCTTTACAAAATATGGCATGTGTCTGTCATATCTTTCTGCATTCATTCATTCTGTCTGTCCACTCAAACCTGTTTCATTTCTATCTGCTCTTAGTTGATCTTTCTGCCACTGCTGACTGTAAAACTGGCAAAGCTAAACCTTCAAAGTCCAAACCTTCCTCTACAGTTTCAGTCAATGATAACTCTGAAGGTAAAAGCTTAGATCAATAGCAGTCTATTAAAATAATAATCACGAGTCCCTGGCTCCAAAATGAATGTTGCCAATCTTGCATGCTTGATTTTTATTTCAAATGAATAATAATACAATGTTGTATATTTATTTGGCACTTGTAAATTGTTCATTTTGGACTTTACATGATTTTGCACAAGCTTGAAAAGCTCTTTCTTTTCAGATTATGATGGATGGAAAAGGAGAGCAGAACGAACCCAGCTTAAAGGAACAAGCTACTCAGCCCTGGGCAAAAATTCAGCCAATCTTATCACTCATGCGCCATCAGTTCAGCCAGTGCATGGGCGAATTGACTGGGCTGCAAAATATGGAAGCCATCGTTAGTTTTAATGCCACGAGGACTACTTTCAACGCTCGGAAATGCTGTATAAACACATCACATCGCATCTTTTTCTTTGAGGAGCAACTAGGATAGATCCACACCACACCGTGTAAGCCCATGGCTTCGTCATTGTTCAATAAAGGCAAGAACCTGTGAACGCTGGCTGTTTAAAAACTTAACAGTTTAATCAACTTAATCATCGTCTTGTTCAGATGCCTGCTACTCTTTTACATGAAATGGGCAAATCTATATCTTATGTTATATACTGCATCTATTTTGTTTCCCTTTAAACGTTTTTAAATGCAAATTTTAATTTTATTCTTGTTGTTTTTAATGCAGTACTAATTCACGTTACACGGCAGCATTTTTTTATTTCAGTGTAATTACTGATATTAGCATCAATCTTTATAACAATATAGTATTATTTAAGAACAAGAAGGCCATTATTTTAAACAAAAGTTTTTAATTTAGAGATTTTTTTTAATTGTACATCTTTTACAAAAAAATACCTATAATGTTGTTCAGAAAGAATGATCACTTTGAACAATAGCAGACATGATTTTTGTTTCAGTATCATGATTTCTGAGGTTTCTGTAACATTCCAGCTCCAAGTTTTGCCAGCATCAGGACACTGCAAGAAATGGTTAAAGGATTAAATTAACACACATTTAAAGTACACCAAGCAATAGTTAGGAATATTTATGATGAAATCTTTTTTCCCCTTCCTCTAAACTGCTTCACGACAAAAGTAAAGCTGTAAAGGCTTTTGTACTTTTATGATAAGTCTATTTTTTTTTTTTACTTGAGTCTTAGGTTTATAACCATAATGTTTTGTGCCATTGGAGCAAAAAAAGTCATTCAGGTTTAAAATGACGAATGAGGGTGAGTAAATGAGGAATTTGCTATTGAGTGAACTTGCCTTTCCTCTGTAAAATTTTACAAAATTGACTATTGTTGGTGAACAGCAGCAGTACAGTGGAGATCAAATAAGAACAAACTACCTAAATTTTGAGGTTAGTGCTTAGTCCTATTAAGGTAGTTAAGCATAAATATGACATATGAAAGAGAAAGCCGGGTTGGGCGATGACAAAAATCTCCTGTCGTGATACAAGTCATCGTGTGTCCTGATAACGATATATTCAATTAGTTGGTACTGTCCACATGAGGATTATTTCTGTTTGACATTTTAAAGTATATGCTCAAATATACGCATTCAAATCTTTTTATTTTTCTCACTTTTGGTAGAGATTCTGGGCAAATGTTTAAGAACGTGGATATATCAATGAAATATAAAGCTTTTTTGAAAACTAATTGTTGCAGGCGCAACATAAAATACTGAAATAAAACGCTACATGTCAACACTACTTTTAAGCTTGCAACTTTTTCACCATGCTGTTATTCAAATTTCGGCCTGTATCCAGATTGATCATCTATATGATGAATGAAGTATTACTGTAAACTACGTATTTTGCAACACCACGCTATAGCATAATATGATTGCATAGCCCTATAACATTAATAACTTGCAGTTTTCTCTGACTTTGCATTATTGTGAGATGAAAACTTTCGAAAGCAGGTTGTCCAGATTAAGGCCAAAGGGATGACCCTTTCAGCCACAGAAAGACAAGTTTTCTAGAATATTATTTACCTAAAATCCACAAAAGATAAGTGCTGCACCATGGCAGAGTGAATGCAAATGTATATCAAAGCTTCTGCGACAATATTTCTTTAAACCATTATATACACCACAACCACTGCTGTTTATTTATCACTGTTTTCCACAAAATAAAGCATTTTTGTTTAATTGCGTTTCTTCAAATTCCTTCAAATAAACAATTTATTTTACATTATTTAAAAAAATATATCCATTGATTATTTAAAATGATGAGAATTGTTCTTGGTGTTAGGAATAAATGATGCCTTTACATCAGGATGTTGATGATTTTGACTTTACATCAGAAATACAGTATTAAATTAATCAATGTGACGAGTGCACCTAGTTTGTTTCAATGTCCACCTAATGGACCACTCTATAATCAAGGTAATAACAATAACAGTAAGACATAGCATAGCATCCATTAAAACTTTAGCGACACTTTACTAAACCAAGTATTTAGTTTATCAGTATCAAAAACATACTTTAAACTGCAGTTGGGTGGTTGAATTGGCGTTTCAGTCTGTATTTCACGTATTTTTCTGCCTTTTTTTTTTTTACTTCTCTTGTGGCTTAACGACTCCTGCTCAAGCAAAACTGTCCACAATATTGAGTATTATATGGCGTTTAGCCACGGTCATTTAGCTTTTTTTTTTAAATAAACAAAATTGTTTAGTTTAGTTGTTTGCCTAATATGCCAAGTTTCAAGTTTCCTGACTACTATGCGGGAATGAGAGTATAGTTTTTGTTAATACTGGAGTAGAAAACAATCGTTTTTCAATGGCTTTATTATACGATGCAACTACAGAAGACTAAAGCGTTAAACAGGACATTTACCAAAACTTAAACTAAATGCTAATGGTCAATACCAGTTTGATACATTATGCTAAGCAAAAGCGGACCACTCCAGAACAAGAAATCAACTGAATGTATTCAAAAAATGGGTTATGTCCACGGTTTAATTCTAGAAGACTTGAGGCTTTTTTAAAAAAAAAAAGTGGAGTGTCCCTTTAAGTGGCACTTTCCTTCTAATTGCGTGAAGGAGAGATAACTGAAGCAAGATGTGGTGTGAACAGACCTTGACAAATATATTGTACTGTTACATGTGACCTCTGTGCAGCTACTCTATACAAACAGCACACAAAAGCACAAGTAAAAGCAAGTGTCTTATAATTACCCTCTTCTACGAAGCATATTTAGTGAGTTCCCGATGCAAAACATACAAAAAAATGAACACCTTTTTTTGCAAACTTGTTTATGGTTATAACTGTCCTGCTGCTATTACTCCATTACAGCGAGGTCAACATCTAGATCAACTTCAATCATCACATATTTACATTGATTTCAAGCAACTCAGCGCATTACCTATTATTTTTCACCTTTACACTTTTGACTGAGTCCATATGAAAGTGTAAATAAAATCTTTTTAAAAAGAGTTCTTGCGCATAAATTTGGAGTTTAACTGCAAAAACTCAAAAAAATAAAATAATAATTTCATACGAGTTTCAAAAACTGATACTGTGGAGGGTTTGTGAGTTAAACCGCTAATAGTAATGGGACAAAGGTTAAAATTAGATATGTTGTTAAAAGCAATGTTAGCATAAAATGACTGCTGTGTAAAAGGGATTTGGGAGATTAAAAATAATGGATATCCTTTCTCAAACTAATTTACTTTGAGATGTGTTAGTTACCTCGCTCCAGCAATGAGACCAGCTGGAATGATTTTGCGCGAGTTGTAGAATCTCTTCCCCATGATAGCAGCAAGCGTCCCAGATGCAGCTGGGGGAATAATAATAAAAAAACACTGAAGACACATGGTTGTAGTAAACAGTATGACCTAATTTATAAATGCAAGCTGCTTTAAGATACAGAAACAGAATATATAGATCCGGAAATAAATGCAAACCTAAAGACACCCAAATATTTCCAGGATCTTGTGATGTTTGGTAAGCACCAAAACCAGCCAAACCTCCAAAGACAAGCCCTGCTGCCAAAGACGGGACACTGCCTAAAAGACAAATCAGTTAGAAGAAAAGATTACTAAAACACTGAGAACACTTTCAAATTCAGTGGTTCAGTTCAGTTCTGGATCATGTTATTATCCAACAAATAAATAATCACTCCACATAAAACAGTAAATAAATAAATACAGTCTTATCAAACAGGTTTCTCTTCTTATAATCAACCATAGTTTTGTTACAGACAAAGACATGATTTTATAATAGAAAAAATACATTTGGAAAAAAACAGGCTTTTTTTTATTATTTTGTACTAAAACCATGGTTAAATTTCATAAGGGTAAAACTAATTGAGGTAAAATTGGTTTTATATACACACACTTGTTCAGTGATAACAGACATGCTCTCTGTATTGTTAACAATGATACTTTGAATATTTGGACTGAAGTTACATGTATGCCTTCAAAACAACATTAGCACTATTTAATTGACAGTGAACAATGTTGTACTTTGATAGTGATTGGCTGCTAATATGACTTTACTATTAAGAATTTGCAGTGAATACTTTTCTGAAATGTTATTATTAAGGCAAAAGTCTGAATTTGTAAATATGAAATCAACTTTATAGAGGTAAAGGTGGTTTTATATTTGGATATTCAGACATTCTTCTTAATGATATATTTTCATAAAAGTATTCTTTGCCAATAATAAATAGGGAAATCATATTAGCAGCTGATGATTATCAAAGTACAACATTGTTCACAGTCTATAAGATCAGTGGTTCTAAAAGTGGACAATGTCGAGGGGTCGCTTGGTGATTTCCAAAACTCAAATACATTTTATTAAACTATTTGAATTACCATATTTTATTCATAACCCACAGAAGACAGTTAATAGTTGTGTTAAAGAAATAACAACAACATACAAATAAAAATCAGCCATTTTGAAATGTAATTCAATTAATAAATGACTGAAAAAAACGTTATATTTTAATAGACTGTTGCATGTTTGTATTGTGTATATGCTCGTGTTTGTATATGCCGATAGTTAATAGTGGTAAAGTTAGTTTTATATTCGCACATTCAGATTTTTTCCTTAATAATATAAATTTCATAAAAGTATTATTTGCAAGCTCTAAACAGCGAAATCATATTAGCAGCCACTGACTATCAAAGTACAACATTGTTCAGTCAAATAAACAGTGTTAATGCTGTTTTCAAGTCACACTTGCATGCTAATTCTGATCGAATATTCAAAGTAACGTGGTAAACAATACAGAGACTTCTAAATGAACGAATGTGCGAATATAAAACCAACTTTACCTCTATCGATAGTTATGTGTGCAACGTTTGTATATTTGCTGTATGACCACCTTGAAAGATGGGGGTCGTGAGTCACTGGCATTGTTATTTAAGGGGTCGCGGGCTGAAAAGTTTGGGAACCCCTGTATTAGACAGTGCTAATGTTGTTTTAAAGTCATACTTGCGTTCTAATCATGACCGAATATTCAAATTAGCGTGGTAAACAATATAGAGACAGATAAATGAACGAATGTGCGAATATAAAACTAACGTTACCTTAATGTAAAAGCAGCCTACTATAGCATGAAAAAACAATCACCAGCAAATCCGGGTTAAAGGTTTGGAATAAAATATGTTCATCGAGCATTCTCATTACCTGCTTTAACATATCCAATGACTCCACCAGATGCAACTAGCGCTGCGTATCCATATCCAGCCCAATCCACTGCCATCCCTAACACCTGTGGACACATATCGACACATTTAAACCTCAGACGCCGACAGCTTACAGCCCCTGTCAACTGAATGCCAAAGCACACCTGTATAAAAACGACAACTGCAGTAGAATTCATGAGCAGCGTGATGAACCACACTATACAATGATCAAACAATCAACCATAACAATGAAAAGTGACAGTCTGAATGATATACACACACTCAAACGTCACTGATAAACTTCAGCTTATCTCAGCGTGAGCTTGCATTTCTATTAACAACCGTGATAGCAGAGAGCGGCGCGGTGTTTATTCAGCGTATTTGATTACTCAAGATACACCAGTGTAATGTGTTTATTAAAATTAGACTAATACTTGCAGCTTGAGAGTCTAATCTGCTGGATGTCCTTGGTTGCTTCGTGTAGTCAACTCGTAATGTGCGAAGTTCCTTATTACGTCATAAAGACTGACACACAAACACCAATGAAATTTTACGCACGTGACGTGTTGCGTTACAACGTTTCTCCTGTTTACTTATGGGAAATGAAGTTAAATCTTTGAACATTTTAAAGTGAAATAAACAGCCTCCCGCCACCTTGCTTTCCTTTCACATTTCTTTTCTTGTATATGCTTGATAAATGATATTATGTCTAAACTTTTACTAAATGTTAAATATATTTTATAGAAATGCATTACTTTTACTAATGTTTCCCTTTCTGTATTCTCATCGTGTATTCTGTAGAAACTTTTACATATATATATATATTTTTTTTTACAATCATTATCAATCGCGTGGTCAGCCAGGTAAAAGGGGTGGACCTGTTTTGCAGTTACTCGTCTCATTTTCTACTTAATTATGAGATTTAAAAACTGAATTTAGTGACATTTTAAGCTCTATTTTTAGCTGAATTAGCTTGCCGGATGGTCATTCTTACCACACTTTTTGATGCACAAAATATTTCCAAAATATTTGGAACAAAGAAATGTTTATTTTTTTAAAAACAAATTCATAACATCACATATCATAAAGTTTTAAATTAAAAACGGTAGCCTATTGTAATTTATTAGGCAAATAAAAAAACAATGAACTTTCCTTAGAATTTGGCCATTTAAATAACAAAAATTAAAATATAATAATAATAATAATTAAGAGCCTCTCTTGTAAAAAAAATGCATTTGAAAATTAATGAATAACAATAGCCAAAATAAAATAATAATAATAATAATAAGAAGAAGAAGAAGAAGAAGAATTCAGAGCCTCTAATAGTATTCAAATTAATTTTAATATGGGCTGCTTTTGGTGCTTCACTTGGTCAAACTTTGTTTCAAGAATAAGGTCCAAGATTTAGAATAAAAGTAGCAAAAGAATACAGTAGCGAAAGATGACTTTGCTTATGTGGGATATTCTTTTGCACAGCTGTATTTTGGACTCAACAATTGTTTGCATTGGCCAAAAC